AATACTGCTCCATGACATGGATTAAAAGCTAATATCATTCCAATTATTCTAACAAAAGGATTGTCATAACTTATAGTAGTAGTTCCTGCAGAGACATATGAGGATATACAGGAAGCATGTTAATATTACCTAATTATCAAAATTCATGACCAATGAAGGTAACAAAATTCTATTTTCCATTAGCACACAAATACAAAACCTTGAATTACTTCCATAAAATGTCTCAGAGCATTGTTTCACTTGTTATAACACTTAAAAATTTTTATTTGATGCATAGTTCCCTACAGCGTTCCCTCTTGCATAGCAAATAAAGTCAATGTAAGTAATTAAGAATTGCCTCTTCATTGTTAATTTTGAATCATCTTAGCTCAATTAATGGCAGTATATATACACCCTCTGTTTACTGTGCATATTGCATGCAGAAATAAACTATTAAGGGTGCCACACAATGCCTTTCAGGGGCTGCATTTTATTTGAAGCTACTTTATATCTTTCAACCTGTGCCACATTTCAATAATGACTATTTATAATTACAATCATTCCTTTATTAGCTTGGCATTTCATTTTTCCTTGTCCTATGGCACCCTACAGCTGAAGACAAGGAAAACTCTCTGTTGATTAGTTATTTAAGACCAGCAACAATAACTATGCTGGAGAGAAGGCTACTTGGAGAGGATTATGTAAGAGCTAGCACTCAACAGCCTCAGACAGAAAGCAGCAAATTATAAACCCAAGTACTTCCTTGCATGTAACCAAATTGGCTAGTTGAAATGCTAATTGCCTTTCAGCACAACTAAAGACAGACAGGGGACCTTGTGCTTCAGAGAATGAAATGCATTTTTACTCCACTTCTGCACCATTGTCTTGCTGAGAATCATGTGAAACCTATTCATAAAGGTAGCTCTTTCCCTAACCTTTAAAATGTGGGAAATTTATTTAGTCCCTACCAGCACCTCGGATATGCTGATGTGCCAAGTTGGGAACAGATGGTTGGATTAAAGCCATGTTAAGCCCCTAATAAAGTGCAAAAGAACACTATGCTCAAATATATACCATATAAACACCAAGAGAAGAGAAAATGTGCCTAAGGAAAGGGAGTTTTTGAATAACAAATAAATTTACAAAATTAAAGTAACTAAATAACATTATCTTTAAAACATATATTATCAATGTAATTATATTCACACACATGGAAAGAGCTGTCACTGCCTGTCTCAAAGAGACTCCCAATCTCCCTTTATGCCTAATCATTTTATGAGAATTACTTCAAAACTCATTTATGGACAATTACTCCAACAATGTTTCCCCTTTATATGAAGGGGCTTCATTCTAGGTTTCTAGAATACTAAATAAATGAGAGAGAAAACCCTGTCTGCATTCTGAGGTATAGTCAGACTTATGCCTGACTGCACCAGAAAAGGGCCCCATGACCACCTGCCCAGCAGCTGGGGGAGGGACTTGGTCTGGTACATTTTAAAGTGTATAGTGTGTCACAGTGGAATGAGAAAACACAGCCTTTGTACTATCACAGCCGTGTGTGTCCCAGCTCCACCTTCATCCTCCCCTGCCACTTCATCTACAACAGTGCTGGGGTGCTGTGGCTTCCTATGTGGCCTGACTTACTGGGGAACCATCCATATAAATAAAGATGCCTCCTGTACTCTCCTGGTCCAGCCTCATGAAGGGAATAAAGTAGGCATGAGAGGACCTGGGGAATCACCATTCAATACCACTCCTGTCTGCATGGAGTAGAAAGAATATGGGTTATTAGTAATGTGTTCATCTTCCCTTCTTTAAAATCCAAGCCTGAGAGTGACAGAATATTAGGACCAGAAAGAAAGAAAGAGAGAGAGAGAGAGAGAGAGAGAGAGAGAGAGAGAGAGAGAGAGAGAGAAAGAAAGAAAGAAAGAAAGAAAGAAAGAAAGCTTTAAATTGTCAGGAATTAAGGAAAGAGAGCTATCTCCCTGGCTAGATGTTCTCCAAAACAGAG